GGTAATTTGTCATTCCCTTAAGTGTAATACTGAATTTTCAGTTAATAAAACCGCCTAAAAGGAAATTATTATAGACTCGTAAAACTGTGATATTTTAAACTCCTGGCCTTTTGCAATTTTTTTTGCAAATATGTTGTAGTCGAAAAACTTTTTTGTCTGAGCCATTGGGTTCCGATTCCTCTATCTTTATTTGATTTTGAGGATGGTCCAAAATTGTTAGCGTACTTGACTGTTTTCGATCTCGGTTAAGAATTAAATCCGTGTTCATGCTTTTTGGCATATCCTTTTGGGTGTCATACAGAACCGCTATTCATTGTAGTACATTTATAGGATAATACTCGTAATCTTTTTTTTTAGTAAGATTAAATTAGATTTACTGATCAGTATACAAAACGTTAGGTAAATTTCACAAAGTTAAAGCGTTATAAAATCTTTAATGAAAACTTCACATTTATAAATATTTTAAAGCAGGATGAAATGGGTTTATTTTATTTTTATGTTTTCAAACGTTTGGCCTATTACACCTTTGTTTATATCTACTTTTGATTCTCTGGAATTTTTCAGTACGATAGGCATTGACTTAATTTCATTCCTACAGTAAGTGCTTTTTGCATTAATGCCTTTTTGTTCTAAGGACTTATCAATTCTAAACGATGTTCCTACTTTGAAAACTACGCCTGCTGGAGAAATTGAAATTACGCGGGACGATTTTGGTGCAATAGTTATATTTTTTATCAAGAAGTACATTTTGATAAAAGCTTAGATATGGATAACTTTTGCTTCTTATAGTACTAATAGGAACTCTTACATCTGGGTATTTTTTTAGTTCTAAGTTTAAATTCGGAAAGTTAATTGATTTAAAGTTGTAAGAAATGAAATCCATTCCTAATATATTTAGATCGCATCCGTTCTCGGCTGAAATCCATGCTTTGATTTTTACCGGATTATCAGTGTTTGTACCAAAAGTTGATTCAAAATTAGTATAACCTATAAGTTTAATTTTTTCTCCATTCACAGCAACTGTGTTTGATCTAAATTTATTAAGCTGCAGAGGCTGTATTTTACAATATTGTTCATAACTGTCAAAATTAATAAGCGAACATGTTGCTCCAGTGTCTAGTAGAAATTGGGTTTCCAGACCGTTATTTTTATTTTTGTCTCCGACGGGATGTTGGTATAAGTTAATATATAATTGTATTTTTGGTTCAGACGGAGACTGATCTAGTTTAAATTAACAAGTTCACACTCATTATCGGTATAGTCTCCTGGAATGTCATCATCACTAAAGTTGTGGATCTGGTAAGGTGAATGATAATCGTTATTTTCGTTGAAGTGTTTCTTACTGTTCGACCTGTCACGCGATTGAGAATTTTCATTGAAGTTTGACAAGTGCCTGAACTCTTTCTGAGAGTTTATGTCATTGAAATTGTTGTCTAATCTTGACCTACTCTTGCTATAGTGATGGTGACTTCTGTTTGAATTCTCTCTTAATTGAAGCGAGTTATAATTTTGCTCCTGTTGATCGTTATATTTAAAGCAATGGCTTATCGTGTGGCCTGACATGCAACACCAGTTGCAAAACATTGGGTTGTTTTGTTTGCTTCTATGCTCATGTGGATTATAAGCTGCGTTTATTTTATGATCCTTCATTAGTCCTGTTAACTCTTTAAGTTGATTCTTTATTCCCTCTATTTCCAATTTATTTTCTATGCTACTGGATGCTGTTCCGATAAATTCACTACTTATTGCAAAACTTAAGTCTTTTGTAGCAATATGATCTTTTAATTGTTGCCAAGTTGCGGGTGGATTCTCAATTAGGAATTGATGCGCCTTTTGTTTTAAGCCTGGCGGGCTTAAGCCGCGTACAAAGAAATCCATTTTCTTTGCTGTTCTTTGATCATCATTAAAAGTTGGATTAGGCCATCCATGGTCTACTGCAGTGCTTAATCTATGTATGTAGCTTTTAATGAATTCATCAGGTTGTCTTTTTATGTTTTCTGCTTCTATTCGTCTCCTATATTTATCCTTATCATCAGTGAATCTATCTATGAATTGATCTCTTATATCATTCCAAGGTAAGTTTGCTGCTAATCCCTGATACCATTGAGCGGCTGGACCTCTTAATATTGAACCAAATAAGGCTCTTTGTCTGTTATCATATGCGTCTTGTTCGTCACCTGCGTCTCCTGGTCTAGTGCCTAGGGAAAATGCTATCTTTTTCTCTACTATATCAAGAAAATCTCTTGCATCTTCATTCGGATCTAAGCCGGTAAACTTTTCGAGAGCTAAATCTGGGTATGCTACTACGTTTGCCATCTTTGTTTAATTCACTCAATGTTTTGTTAACAATATATAAAGGGTTTGGATGTGTTGTGTACTGATCAATTGTTCGGACTGAAATAATTGTATTTAAGTTACAATGAAGTTTGCTGGGTTCAATGAATACGAATTTTTGTTAGATAGATCAATAGTGCTATGGGGCTGATTAAGCTTTTTTAAGATGGAAGTTATCTCTGGGGTATTGCGGCTGGAAAGAATGGTTAATTCGTGAATATTTATGTGTGGGTGTTTGGACAAAATTGTGATTTGATCTTTTTGGATATTGGTGATATACCAAATAATTTTTGTGGATTTATTTTTCAATTTTAGTTTTAAATTAAATGCTGTTGTATTTACTTGATAAAAGTTGGTCATAGCATTTTACATCCTTTTAGGGACATAAATATTTATCTAGGGAATGATAAACAATATAAAAAATATTTTTTCTTATGAACTTGTTATTATTTTTAATTTTTGTTAAGGAAAATTTTGTGTTTTTAATTAAAAATGATTAAAATGCAAGTAGTTTTGTGCTTGGGTATATTATGATATCAGAAAGCAATTGGGAGTGAAGCAATTAATCGCTCTTCCGGTATACAAATTATGTTATTTGGTATTTTTATTTGCTGAAGAATTGTGTCAATTTCTGGAGTATATCGACGAAAGAAGACGTATAATTCGTGTTTATCTTCGTTAGGGTGTTTAGCTAATATACTAATATGATTTTTTTCAGTGTTAGTGATATACCATATGATGTTAAAGACTTTATTTCCTAATTTGAGCTTTAAATTTATTGTACTGACGTCAATTTTAAAATGTGTTGACATTAATTTCACGATGTTTGTTTTCTTTTTCTTAAGCCAAGTTGTACTATTTGATTAGTATGTCTTAGAGTAATGAAAACCTCTTAGGAATTTTTGAATATTAACAAAGGTTATCAATAATAAGATAAGGAAACAAAAATTTTCTTTGGAAAAAAAAAATTTTCTAAAATTTTTTCTAAGTTTTTCAAGTTTTTTATTTGCTGATTCCTTAACTGAAACCTAAAACTTTGTTCAAGTGAAGTTTTGTTGATGCTGTGGTATGGTTAACAATATAACTATATGCCTTTATTGGTTATTATTGGTTCAAAACTTAATTTTTTTGTTAAAAATTATAGAAAATTTTTTGACTGAAACGATAATCTGAAACCTGAAACTATGGTAGCTGAAGTTGAGTTTTTTTAATCTTAAAATTTTCTATACGCTTTATTATATCTGGTTTTCGCTTTATCTTGCAAAAAAATTCGAGAAAACCGAATCTTTTGATATCTTAAACATAGTTTTTGAAAACTCAAACCTGAAACTCTTAAACTCTCTCAAACTCGGTGCAGGAAAATAAAAAGTTGGTTTTTGATAGCTGGTCTAGTGTAAATTGGAATTTTGAACAGGTTTGTAACTTCAAAATCAAAAATTTGTTTGCGGAAACCTAAGTTTTTGCGGCTGAAACTATGATTTCTAGAACTGAAACTATGGTTTGACCACTTGGTTTTAGAGTTTTGAGATTGAAAATTTAGGTTGGTCTCTCTAATATATTTCTATTCCAGCAATAAAATTGCCAAAAAGATGAAAATTTTAGCTTAAAACCACGATTTTAGTTTTCTGAAACTATAAGTTTGAGGGCTCAAACTAACACCTTCTAGAAGTTTTTTGAGTTTAAAAATTTATTAGTGCATTAAAGATTCTTATTATCTTTCAATATTTCACAAAAATTTTTCTCGGGAAGCAAGATTTTTGGTTCTGAAACCAAAAAACACCAATTCTGAAACGTACGTTTCAGCCTTAGGAACCAAAATTTAAAATTGGTTTGGTGGGTTTTAACACCGCTAGTTTTCTCTAGAAAGTCAAAATTCGGCGTTCGGAGCTCAATTTTGAGACCAAAAACTCAATTTTTGTGTTCTGAAACCTGAAACTAACAAAAACGTACCATTTAAGACCAGGTTTTTGACTTATGGTATCCAAATTTGGGTTTGACTAGTTCAACTTTTGCTGTTTTACCCGAATCCGTTTACAGAAACTTGAAATTTTGACCGGAAACTATACTTATTTTAACTGAAACGTTTGGACCTATAACTGAAACCTAGACTGAAACCAAAAATTTTGGCTGGTAAAAATCAATTTTTTAGTGCTTATGCTATCATATGAAACCTATTTTATCAATATAAAGTGGATGTGTCAGTGTTTTAAACTTAGTTTTTGTTGTGAAACCTGATATTTTTGTGCTGAAATTAAAACTTGGTGTTTGGTGTTATGTGGTTAACGTTTAAGATTTGTTTTAGTGCGTAATCTTATTGTTAATTAGGTGTATATTTAAACTGTGTCAAAAAAAACTGATGATTTATCAAAAAACACTCAAATCCGTTCCTTCCTTTTTGGTTTTTGTTATTTTCTTCCTTAGTTTCAGTAATTGGTAGCTTTACTGATGGATGATTTAGGTTTAAGTTACGTTAAGGTGGTTAGAATTAAAATGAGTTTAAGAAAATTTGAGGATAAGCCTCGAGAATTGATGAAGGATTAGGATAAATAGCAACAAGCGTGGATGGTTTGAGATAATGTGATGAAGAATTCAATTTATCATACAATTTAGGGTACTCTTAGATTGCACATATGACCACTTAACCCCCTCGAAAAAATAAATGAAGATATTTAATAAGTTTTTAAGCACTTTAGTTTAATACAGAATTTTGTTAATTTTAGTGATGATAACTTTAAACTGAAGTTTCGGCAAAACTTTAGTGGATTACTGGACAAAACGGGTATATCTTACTAGCGGACTTAGGCAGAGAACGATTCTTTCAGAAATTTTATATATTATTATAATAATAGATAATAGTTAAGTTCATGAGCTAATGTCAGTTAGAAAGCCGTCTAATAGACCTCGAGATGGAGGGATATCGTGGGCGACTGCTAGCGCAGGGGATGCATTTTGCAAGAACCCTACCAGGAATATCTGTCAAGTAGAAGACAATGAAATTGTGTTTCTATCGAAAGATACCCATTGTCTCAGGCTTTTTGAGGTTGAAAACTAATCTGACAAATACTCACAGATCCTAATAATATTATTTTTTTTGAATTTTAAAAGCTGTTTCTAGTTTGTTGGAAAAAAAAATTCTTAAGGAGTAGTTCTCTGCTGCGGTCGCACCAGTTTTACTAAGCGCTCATTGCTGGTTGAATGCTTAGTAATTTTATCCTAAATTATAAGTCTCACCTTAGATCGTCAAATTGTCTTGACAAAAAGTAGAGTAGAAACAATAGTTAGAAAAGGTATGAATTAATTAGTTGGTTAGATACAGAGCACTGGGTTATTAGATTATATAAATGAATCGAACAGCTTAAAGAAATATACCTATGAGGGGAGGTTGAGCTAATCTTATTTTGTTCATCAATATTTTATCTTCTTACTAAGGTCGGTGGCTGATTAGTATGTATGGTTGCCCTTGATGTTTGTCCAAGTCAGCACTTCTGGTTGGGTCGTCTGAATCGTCTTGCCGTAGTCTTTTGGGTACTTGTAGTCCAGACTTCCTCGGGTGTGGTTATCTCGAGTATCTCGATTTATAATTTTTTGAACTTAAAATGAGAATTTATTCTCTTTTTATAAGTGAAAAGGGCTAGATTAATTTTATTGTTAGGGCAGAAAAGAAAAATTATTTATTTTTAAAAGATCTGACTGAAGAGAACTGACTTGCTGCTTACTGAGCAAAATGAAACACTGAAGATTTCAGGCCAGTCCTTTTGCTCATAAGCATAAACCGGCGGCTGATTCAATCTTTAATTATTCAGGTTTCACCTGCTCCTTTGTTCTCCCTTTTTAATAAGGGAATTTTCAACTAGTTTTTATTTGATTTTTTCGAATCAAATATCTTCAACTTATTAGTCCCCTTTGATAAAAACCGCAGCCTTCAGTTTGTCTTATTAAAAATTCATATTACTCTCTCTGATGCATCATATTGCAGGTGCACCTCTGCTTAATCAAAGCAAGGAGAATTTCAGTGCAGCCGGCAAGACTGCTAAATATTTATCCAGTTTGTTTCAAGTTAAGTTAAAAGGGACGTATTAATAATCGCCGCCCTTTTAAAATATTGAGCATGAAAAAATGAGAAAAATTGGACAAGTATTTAAAAAGGAGTGGATTTTCGCAACAAGATTTTATAGTCCTAATAAGAGTAAATCAGTCAATATCTGATTTAGTGAAAAGAGGCTTTAATTGAAATGGCACGCTCCAATTTAGAATTGGGTCGTTAAATAAACAATTAAGACAATGGTCTTTTGTGTGTGTGTAGTATTTCGCAATACTACACTGTCAAAATTCTTCTCAGTCAGAAAAACTCCTCGGTCGAACTCTGTCGAAACGATTTTTTCCTCGGTCGAACACAGTCGAATCGAACTGTTTTTTCTCGGTCGAAATTTTTTTTCGGTCAAAAAACTCTTTCGTCGAACTCGGTCGAAATGTTCTTCCTGGTTGAACAAGGTCGAAAAATATACAGCTTGGGTCGAGTCGGACGAAACATATCGAGCCTTAGTCGAGACGGTCGAAACATACCATTTTTTGGTCGAGTCGGTCGAGACATAAATCGCAAACCTCGACCCGGGTAAGAGCCCATCTTACGATATTTCAAAAACTATTGTTAACTCTAACGTTAGAAAAAAGCTAATTTTTGAGGTTTTGTCAATTTGACTTAAGAAAAGAAACACCCAATAATGTTTTCATTGTTTTCGTGTTTTTTTTTGTTGCAACAATGGTTGTAATATCAGCATTCGCTGCCAACCGCGAATCTACGAGCTTTTCTTGCTTCCTTTTAATAACGCAATAATATTTACCCCAGTCGATCAAAGAAGGTTATCTTGCAAGATCTTGCAAGAGTCTAGCAAATGAGGGTTATCTTGGACGATCTTTTAAAAAGGTGCATCGTATTTAAAACACTTTTCCAAGATAGCAACCCTTGATAGACCAAAGCATAGATTGAGCAGCGAACCTGTCCGTCCATCTCTCTGGCGGGGAGATTGACGAAGAAGAAGACGCCACTGTCCTTGTACCACTGACACACGTCCCCCGAGTGCCAGCAGTGCAGCGCCTTCTCCCGGTAGCACCGGTTGTTGTTCGCCTGACTCATCCCTTATTCCCAGATGACGTCACTCTTCAGAACAATGACAACTCGCGTCTTCGCTGATGACTCACAAAACTGATGATGCGCCTGACCTCTTCCGATAATACTGATGACGATAACGGGATTATGGTCACTAGCACTTTCAAAGATTGCCCCACCACGGCACATTGGCTGCTTCGTAATTGAGGTTGATTGAATGGACCTAGGATTATAAAAGAGAAGCACTTCATTTCAACCAAAGAGTTCACAAAATTTTTCGCCGCTCAAACATTTCATGGTACAATTTTGTTCTTCCGACTACGACGTGGGAATGATCTTTTAATTTCTATTTATCAATTTTTAGGCTAAATCATGTACTACAGAGAGGCGACAATATTAGAATTCTTTGTCAAATTTTTTAGGTAGAAAAAAGTTCATTTCGCTTTTCCGAACCATTCCAAAACATTGAAAAGACCCTATTCAACCAAAAAAAGCACTTGGTAGATTTTGAACAAAAAATTGCGTGTTTTTGGCGCACGCTTTCCCTCTCAAAATGGTAAATAGCCGAATTTAGAAAACTTTTTGACGAGTTCGGCCAGAACCTGATGCCAAAAAAGTTTATCGAAAGTGGCCGACTCGGACACTTTCTTTAATCATGAAACTGATTGGCCGGGCTTTTGATTAGCAGGGCTTTTGATAATGAAATAAAACCTAAGTGCGATTTCTGGTAATCCTATTTTTTGATGTTCTCGATTTAACAATGCTATTAACGAAATTTTTGAGCCGTGAAAGTTAGGATATCTGAAAATTCTAAGCCCACTGTTCTATGTGAAAGACCACTCCAAGTTCTCTAGCAGTCGGTCTATCACGACAAAACGAAACAAAAAAACAAGTGAAAACAAAACCTTACCTGTAAGACAAAGAAAAATAAATTTTGCCTCATATAAATAAACTCTCGTTTTCCTTCTGGGTAAAAGTCACAGTAGCCAAAAGATGAAGGCTCGATTTTCTTTAAACTACACGTTGCTACCTTATTTACTATAACTTATCGTGGAAGGGAAATCCACTACTAAGTGGCTCCGATTAAATTGCCTTCTGATTTACCTTTCTAGATTGTAGATAACTGGGTTATCAGCAGACTAGGAAAACACCGCTTCACAGGAAGCAGATTTTTCACAAAGCCGAAATTTCTTCTGGTCTATGAAGAAAACTAAAAGTTATGACTGCTCCTCGTGACAATTATCTCAACAATTATACCGTAAAACGACATGAACTATAAAATACGCAAATAATTGTACTAAAAAATCTCGATTTCCAATGTACAAGCCATATCTTCACTTTTTCAATTAAGTTCAATTCAATTAAATTCAAGATTGGTGAAAATTTGAAAAAATTAACGACTGAGGCAAATCTAATCTCAAAGTCAGTTGAAATCAAAGTTAAAATATTCCCTGTAAAAATAATAAACGACAATTTAAAAAATGCAAAAAAGGACCGTTCAAACTGATCTGCTCAAATTACTCAATTTTAAAAAAATCTTTTGGTCTACTTTTTGAACCCTTCCATTACCATCAAAACTGAGATGCAGTTCCCAAGCATGGCGAATATTGATGAAAATGTGAAAGCTTCCTGGCGTATCAGACAATTAAACCGCTAAGTCGTTTTGATAGACATGGGTGGTGTCAGCTACTAAATTGGGATCTCCAACTACTTCCTCTATGGTACCTATTTTGTGCGGATTAACCAATAACCTTTTGCAATAGGGGAGGGGGTAGATAAAAAGATTAAAAGAATTTCCATAAAGCCTCGTTTTTAACTTTATCCTCAAAAATTTCACCGTGTCCGATAGCTAACTCAATCAACAAAAAAAGGATGACAAGGCATTGAAAATTTTTCATCAATACTTATAAGCAGGGGCGGATCTAGGATTTTCTCGAGGGGGGGATTTTCAAAAAATTTTCGAAAATTTTGACGACCTTTTTTTTTTTAGGTGGACCAAATTGATTTTTCGAGCTCTCCCAAAGCATTGTTTTGCCCCTATTTTGGCAAAATTTTCAGCGCCGCAGGCAAATTTTTGAAAAACAGTCAAAAAAGTCGTTTTTGGTCTTTTTTTGGAAAAAGTTGACAAAAAAATCGCGTTTTTTTGGCGCGCGCTCCCCCTCAAAAAATAGTTAATATTGGCGCCGAAGGCGCCCTTAGAAAAATTTTAGAATCGGTAGGCCAAAAATGGAGTTATTAAAAAGTATCAAAGTGGGGACCCTTTGGGTCGGCAGGGGGTCGAATCCCTGAGGGGGGGGGGGCGTCCCCCCTTCCTAAATCCGCCCCTGCTTATAAGCATTTTCAAAATGTTGAAGGCATGGACTTCAAGTACAAACAATATTTTCCAATGATTAGCTCAAAAAAACTTACAGGCGGTTTCTCATTAGCGGGAACTGGTCTATTAGCATGTGGGTTGATTAGCATGCCCATAGAAAAATAGGTAATTGAAAGATTTGCTATTTCAAGTTTAATTTGCTCATTTTTGTTTGTTTTTAAACAGCGCGCACTTAGCCGAATTTTAGTTGGGCGAAAGT